TTAGAGATTTTTAGATTTAAAAGAGCCATTTATGATCATTTCATAGAACCATCTGTAAAGCTATGACTGAAAAATCCAGAAGAGATATTTTTAAGAAAAGGTAAAAAAGAAAAAAGCAGAAAATGAAGGGTTGGGAGCTATTAATACAGGGTAGGAAAAGAGACAAAAAAGATAAAGTCGGGTCATAGGTTGAACAAAACAGTATCAAAGAGGACAACATTGCAAAAATAAATGTGAAGTCAACAAAAGCTTATTTCAATACGTGTCTCTACCCTTTACTGCAGTGTATCTCAAAGTGTAGTCCAAAACTAATTTAAGCCAAAATACCAGGACACTTGTTAAAAATTTAGATACCTGGGCCCCATCCCAGACCTAGTGAACTAAGCTCTCTTTGGCAATTGAAAAGTTTCCCAGAGCATCCTTTTAACTAAGCATTTTTATCTCAATACCTTTTATAAATCAGCTTTCAAAGTGGTACTTTCCAAGAACATGCAAACTCACTTCACATATAGATATATTTCTGAAAAGTTGTTAAGTGACTACTTATACACCAAACCATTATTCCCCTAAAGACTATCATGATCATTTCAGAATTATGTTCATCCAGAAGGAAACAAACTAGATTTGAGAGCATTCAGCCTTTAAACAAATATTCTTCATCTAATTTTTCTGTATTACTTATGTAAGAGGTTGGCCAAATGGACTCACGTACTCACTATTTTTACTTAGTTTAGAAGCATGTTTATTTAAAATTACAACATACTAAGCCGGGCGTGGTGGCTCAAGCCTGTAATCCCAGCACTTTGGGAGGCTGAGGCGGGTGGATCACGAGGTCAAGAGATCGAGACCATCCCGGTCAACATGGTGAAACCCCGTCTCTACTAAAAATACAAAAAAATTAGCTGGGCATGGTGGTGCGTGCCTGTAATCCCAGCTACTCAGGAGGCTGAGACAGGAGAATCGCCTGAACCCAGGAGGCGGAGGTTGCAGTGAGCCGAGATGGCGCCATTGCACTCCAGCCTGGGTAACAAAAGCGAAACTCTGTCTCAAAAAAAAAAAAAAAAAAAAAAAAATTACAACATACTGTTAACTCATTCCATTTTGACTTTGAACTAATTTCACTAAATTAGTTTAACTAGTTAAGTATCATAATCAAGTGGCATTTAGCAGAACTCATGAACAGAAAAAGTGCCACAGGAAGACAGTTTTCAGAAAATACAAAAACTGAACTTTGAGGTTTGGATTCTAACAGCAAAGACATCCCTTTATGTGGTGAGCTCTGATAACAAAAAGTATTTGTCAACTTCTTGCCAATAGATAGCCAAGAAATAAGAGATGTGAATCTATTGAATTCAAAGATAGAAATAATAGCTAAGAACAACAGTAGTTAATATTTATTCACTTATCTCATTAGAGGGTTCCTTCTAAATCCTTTACATGCATTAACTAATTTAATCCTTACAACAACTCTATAGACTGTGGCTTTAGACCAGTTCCCAGATAAGGATGCTTAGGTGTAGAATTACATAACTTTCCTGAGATCCCACAGCTAGAAATAGGAGGTGAGATTCAAATCCAAGCAGCCTGTCTCCAAAATGTATACTCAAAGACAGTGGGCTACACTATGATTTTAAGAGAGTCTTAAATGTTGGAACAATTACTTGCCTCTATATATATGCTTTATCTTTATGTTTTGAGATTATCTTTTTTCTGTTCTTTATACAACTGATTTTAAGATAAACTGGGACTACCTTGCATCCCTGCTTATGTTTGGTTATTAGATCTCATTATAATGCACTTGAAATATGACAGGAATTCCAAAATTAGCATCAAATAGGAATTCAGCATCATACAGAAAAATAAAAATGTATTTTAAAAGATACTTAGTTCTGAATTCAAGGCAAGAATAGTATAGTGGTTTACAGCTGTGCTTCTCTATTCTTCATGTGCCAATCACCTAAGTACATTGTTAAAAATGCAGATTTTCAGCAGCTCTGAGATTCTGCATTTGTAACAAGTTCCTGGATGATGGTGACCCTGCTGGCCTGAAGATCATAATCTGAGTCACAAAAGTTCAGAGTTCAAACCCTGGAGTCACACTGCTTATGTTTCAATCCCAGATCCATTGCTTACTAGTTGTATAACCTTCTCCTTACATGCCTCTACTACATCTGTGAAAGAGTGAGATCATTAAAGGGTTGTTATCAGGATTACATGGAATAATCCATAGATAGTACATAGAACAGTCTCCAGCACATAGAAAGAACTGAATAAATGTTATTTCCTAGTATTATTGAAAAATATTAAAAGCATATATTGTATCCCATTAGAAAGCCATTTATATAATTGACTGATCTAGCAGAAACACTAAATAAAATGTCATCATTCTTTTCTAGGCAGTCAAAAGAACATCACTGTACAATGAAGGGCATTAAATACATAAGTTAGAATCACTACCCAGCTTTATTAAATACATAAATCTGAAAGTGCTCCAAATGAATTTGCGTAAAGCTGGCTTGGTCTATGCTATTTAAAGAGCATATTTTGTTTGTTTGCCAGAAAACTTTTCTATATTGCATGTATGCACTGAGTTCATTTATTTGAATACCTTCCTCTGAATTTCGAAAAAGCCAATAATAGTTTAAAATTCTTATTTAATGAAATATGTCAGTACTAGTATTAATATCAACAATAACAATGATTTTAAATATTTTAAACAATGATTTTAAATATTTGTTCAAGGAAGAACACTGCTATACTTTTAATGAATTCAGAGGATTTAATCAATACCTTCACAGACAACTGTACACATATTCAAACTATAATACAATGCAGCACAATTACTTCTTGTCTTTGAGAACTGAGGCTTAAAAGAATATTATTTATCAAAAATGTGGTGATTTAATTATAATGATATATCCAAGAAGCCAATACAAAGGAAAAGCAGAGTTAGGTCCACAAATGAAGATAAAATATCATAGTAACTTCCCAAATGAAAACTGTAAGAAATTTATTTCAACACTGGTTGAAAAATAAAGACATAGAAGGAATGGAGTACATTAGAAAAGAAAGACTAATGTTTACCCAGTCATTGATTAAAACCAGAGCCAGGTGTTTTAATCAAAAAGAAGATGAGAGCTAGAAAATGTTTTTGGTTGGTGGGTATCTTTAAGAGTCAGCAAGTAAAGGTCAATAGATAATTTGCCTATCCTTTTATCTTTTATTTTTCAACATAGGTTATTAAAAAAAACAATTGTAGTAAAAATTCTATTACATTATTTTTCTAAATTAAAACTATATTCAACATAGGCCATACAGACCTGCTCTGTCAAATCATGACAGATAAGAATCAAGAAAAAAGGAGGGATCTGGGTGAGTGGTTTATTCTTTCCTCTCTCCTTTCTCTTTCCCTACAGATTGGTGTTCCTCACTGCTCCTTTGTCTGCTGTGGCACTAGATTTTTAAAAAAATGCACAACACATAAGATTTTCCTTTCATTTTACTTTCTATGACATGTTACTTTAAAATAATAAGATTTTACCAAAAACTATGCATAATGATACTTTATTAAAAGGACTGCCGGATGTAAGTTTGCAAGGCAGGGCTTACCTGTACTCAATTATATCAAATAAGGATTCACAAAATGAAATTAAACTTGTGCTTTTAGTGAAAAATTAAATCAATAGTGAAACGTGGTTCTTTATATCTACAGAGGTGATAACACCAACATTATATCTACAGAGGTGATAACACCAACAAGATCAAATCATTAGGATTAGAGGAATAAGAGGAATAGAATTTGAACAGAATTATACCAATATCATGTCTTGTTATTTGGGTTTACATTTTTCTTAATCAAATACTGAAAACCAAAAATTTACTGAAAATGCCTAAGCTGTTTTCCATTTATAAATTAGCTGTCTCTCACCTCCAGAGGAGCAAGGAATTCCTCTTCTGTATGACCTATTTATGCCTCTTAGATTTATCACATGCATTTTTTAATGACCCCGAACCAAAGGAAATGTAGAAACCTATTTGAAAAGTTGACATTAAGGTTGTGACACCAACCAAAACAACCAGAGAATTTAAAGTTAAACTGACATACAATACCCAAATCAGTCTGTTATACTCCTAATTTAAAAAACAGTTCTAATGTGAAATCATGATAGCATGTCAGCCTCTGCTTTGAAACTCCTGAATTTTGTCATTTGGTGTTTGTGTCACAACCTTAATATTATTTAAATATACTTTTTAATATCTATTATTTAAAAAATCTTTGAATTGAAGATACTCTAAAGCTTTGAAGAAGCCAACCTCAAAGCACTGCATTCCTAGCATGCCACTTTTATTAGTAGTGCATAAAACATTTGCTGTTGACAAATCTAATTCATTAAAAGGTGAGACGGATGCATTTTAAAATAACTGGCTGGCATCATTATCTGCAGTGCCTTTTATAAATTATTCCTCTTTTCCCTTTTGACTGAACTTGTCACAGTTCCCCTTCAGAGTCTGAGTGTTATGCCTTATAGTCAATGCTTTCAATGTGTTTAGACAAGTCACAAGTTAAACAAGCAGTGGTATTTTATTTTCTAGAAATGAGAAAGCGTAACAGAAATACGAATTATTTTATTCAATTCATTGATTTTGAACTAAAGACAAGTAAAGTCAGTGGTGGTTTAATCTTACACAAAGAATTTAAAAATAAAAGTATACTGTTTGCATAGAATGGGGAATTTCAAAGAAAGAAACATAAAGAGAAATGCTGGCGGCCCTGCTGCAGTGTTGTGTAGAAGACTTGGTTAAAAATTGAATTGTGCTTCCCCTAACACTGGAGATCAGGTAAATCATAGAGCTGACAGCTGTCTGGCCCACTAACTTCCTAAAGAAGAATGCTAACTGTATTCTCTCAGAGGCCAAAGGAATAGAATTCTAGAAGCTTTCAAGGAAACTGAGTAGGCACAGTACAAATTATTCAAAATATGAAGAAAAACATTTCTTACCTAATTTTATTTTAGAAGACACTAAGAATAAACAGATCTTCTAATCCTGAGGAGGCAGATAATTATTTCCTCACAAGTTGTTAGCAGAAGAACTATCTCTTCTTTAGTATCTTCAGCAAAGTTTTTTTTTCCAAAGTATGTAAAATGTACCTGTAAAATAATTGGACAAAGCTTTATCACTGCCACAATGGGATCGAGAGCATATTCACATTAGTTGCCTAGATTGCTAGTGACAGTACTATCATTATATCATGACACATGGACTTGAGTCAAGAATAAGAGATGCTAGGAATACACAAAGACATCCTGAAGATTAGGTACCTAAGAAAAGCTTATTAACAAGATGGTCCATAGATTATAGCCACACAGGTAATAGGGGCACCTTGGAGAATGCATATTTAAAACATCTCTTCTATTTTCACTAAAAATTGATCATTCCTAAAGAAATGTATCATGAAGAAAGTAACGTGAGGTTGCACCATATAAAACAAGCAATGCTATTTAATTCAAATGCCTTTTTTTCGTGTTTAGTTACTATTTACTCTAGATTATTTATTAAAACCATTTCCCCCCCACTCTTCCGGGTGATCCTGTTGAAAACAGATTCCTGGCAATCTTGTTACAAATGGGTTCTGATTAAGTTGATTTGGTGCTGGGGCTTGAGATTTTGCATTTCTAACAAGGTCTCAGGTAATGCCCCTAATGCTTTGGATCCATGCACTACACTTTCACTAATAAGTTTCCACCAATATATTTGTCTTTTCCTGCACCAAAGTATACTATTGTTATTCTTGGCTATTGACAGTTTGCCTTTTTATATAATTTCACAATCTTTTGTCAAGTGTTTGCCCCTCCTCACCAAAACAAAGACAGTTAGGAATTTGACAGATATTACTTTGAATCTCTTATCAAAGTTGGGCAAGTGTATAGCATTGAGTTTTCCAAGTCATGTGTATTGTATATAATTTTACTTATTGAGGTCTTCATATTACAAAATAATGCTCTATTATTTTCCCCATAGGATTTTTTTTTTTTTAAGAGTTGGGGTTTCATCATGTTGGCCAGGCTGGCCTTGAATCCCTGACCTCAGGTGATCCACCCACCTTGGCCTCTCAAGGCGTTGGGATTACAGGATTACAGGCATGAGCCACCAAGCCCAGCCTCCCACAGGAGTTTTGTACATCTTTTGTTATGTTGTATTTATTTCTAGGCACTCCATGCTTTGAATATCATATCTCTTTGCAGAAAACTTTTGCCTTTCTTGTTTATATATGTATTATGTGTATAATTTTGGTAGGTTGATAGGTTCATCCAGGATATTTGATAAACTCTTACTCTTTCCTGTAGTTTTACATCATGTACAAATAATGGGCTTTATTTCTTTATTTCCAAAATTTATACTTTTTATTTTTTTATCTTGTCTTACTATAAAAAAGAAAAGCAAAAAACATCAAACAGTAAATGCATTAATAATAACAATAATAATAATAAAAGGCTATTTTTTTTTATCTATTATCAGCCAAAATGATCTCTCGGTTACATTAGATTGCCTAGGAAATAGATATGAGGTAGACTCCAATGGTTTCTTTCTTTTCTTTTCTTTTTTTTTTTTTTTGAGACGGAGTTTCACTCTTGTTACCCAGGCTGGAGTGCAATGGCTCAATCTCAGCTCACCGCAACCTCCGCCTCCTGGGTTCAAGCAATTCTCCTGCCTCAGCCTCCCAAATAGCTGGGACAACAGGCATGCGCCACCATGCCCAGCTAATTTTTTTTGTATTTTTAGTTGAGACAGGTTTTTACCAATTTGACCAGGAGGGTCTCGATCTCCTGACCTCATGATCCACCTGCCTTGGCCTCCCAAAGTGCTGGGATTATAGGCGTGAGCCACCGCGCCCGGTCTTTTTCTTCTTTAGACAGAGTCTCACTCTGTCACCAGGCTGGAGTGCAGTGGTGCGATCTCGGCTCAATGCAACCTCTGCCTTCCAAGTTCAAGTGATTCTCCTGCCTCAGTCTCCCCAGTAGAGTAGCTGGGACTATAGGCGTGTGCCACTATGCCCAGCTAATTTTTGCACTTTTAGTAGAGACAGGGTTTTTCAGTGTTGGCCAGGCTGGTCTCGAACTCCTGACCTCAAGCAATCCACCTGCCTCAGCCTCCCAAATGCTAGGATTACAAGTATGAGCCACTGCGCCCAGCCTCCAATGGTTTCTTATAGCATTTACTAATTGTCCTCATATTGCCTGTCTTTCTATGGTGTCTAGTATACAAGTCCTTAAATATTACTAACATCCATTATCCCAAACCAAATTCCAGTTGATATTTAATCAGAAACAGACATAAACTCTCATGGACAACTTTGCCACCCTGAGAAATAGCTGAAAAACAAAAGAAAAAAGTGGCATTATAATGAGGAAAATGGTTCAGTTCCATCTAAGAACTAAGGTGAGGATGCCAATGCAAGGAAGCCATTACTGAGATAAAGCACATCACCTATAGTCCCTACCTGAAATCACAAGGTTTCTTGTAAAATGAATACATAACTGAAATTGTTTTCTTGATGACAATGTCAGCCGGCTTTAGAGCAAACGGTGCTTCTTCATAGCTTTCAGTCAATTAGTTTGACAAAGGAAACAATTATACTTAATATTCTACACACTGTCAATGTTGGTAACACTGGTTATTTAAGGAAAGGCAAATGTGTGTGATGGTGGGATGAAGGAATGCATTAAAAAAAGAGAAAGAAGTAGTAACTAAAATAATAATAACCATACTAATAAAAAGTTTCCTTAAAAACATTTCCATAATCTACTATAAACAGCAATCATGAAAAAGGAAAGCAATGTAGGAAATGTTTAAAAGGAGAAGAAAATAGGATTAAAAAGTAAATAAGCCTTACATTAAAACAGTTTAAAATTATGTGAATAAAATTTTTGGTGAGGAAGCTCAAGCAGCATACATTTTCCTTCTGTCCCCAGATATCCCTTAAAAAGGCAACGAAGTTATATTATGGAAAGGAGAAATATAAACCCACAAAAATGGGGACAGTGAGTCATTACCACAAATTTATAAAAGGCAAGGTGGATGAAACAGCATTCACAGAAGAAATAGAATAGAAAAAGCTAAACTCTAAAATGTGTGCAAAGAGAGCTGCAATTAAAAGAATGACCTGATATCCATGGCAGAGTATGGAGTAAAAAGTGAGGCTAAAAAACACAATCCATTGAAGGTTTGCTCAAGAAACACTGAATCTCCCTTCCCTACCTTTTTGTGCAAGCTACTACTTTGTAATTTTTTTTTGTCTTTAAAGATCTGACTGTGGGTAAAGGGAAATAAATGAAAGAAGTGATGTGCTTCAAGACATGAATTAACTGTCTACAAAACTATGAAAGTAAGCACTGGCATGGGTACCTCCGCAAAAAAAACCCTGCTTCATTCTGGTCTTTAGCTGGCTTTGGCATACTAATCATTCCCCATCTGTTTACTCTAAAGCAAAGTATACCAGTAAAATCACTGTTATCCAAATAATTTCTATGTAGTTTTTTTATATTTTCTTTTTTCTAATATGAATGCATACCCAAGGACTACTTGACATTTGAAGAAAAAAATGTTTTTTTCACATTAGAGACTGTATTAGTCCATTTTCACACTGCTATGAAGAAATACCAGAGACTGGGTAATTTATAAAGAAAAATAGGTTTAATGGACTCACAGTTCCACATGGCTGGGGAGGCCTCACAATCATGGCAAAAGGTGAAGAGGTGAAGGAGGAGCAAAGACGTGTTACACAGCAGTAGGCAACAGAGCTTGTGCCAAGGAACTGCCATTTATAAAAACATCACATCTCAAGAGACTTATTCACTATCACGAGAACAGCATGGGAAAGACTCACCCCCTTGATTCAGTTACCTCCCACTGGATCCCTCCCACAATATGTGGAAATTATGGCAGCTATAATTCAAGATGAGATTTGGGTGGGGACACAGCCAAGCCATATCATTCTTCCCTGGCCCCTCCCAAATCTTGTGTACTCACATTTCAAAACCAATCAAGCCTCACAGTCCCCCAAAATCTTAACTCATTTCAGCAATAACTAAAAAATCCACAGTCCAAAGTTTCATCTGAGATAAGGCAAGTCCCTTCTGCCTATGTAAAATCAAAATCAAGTTAATTACTTACTAGATAGAGTAGGGGTACAGGCATTAAGTAAATACACCCATTCCAAATGGGAGAAATTGGCCCAAACAAAGGGGTTACAGGCTCCAAAATGTCCAAAATCCAGCAGGGCAGTCAAATCTTTTTTTTTTTAATTAATTAATTAATTTATTTATTTTTTATTGCATTTTAGGTTTTGGGGTACATGTGATGAACATGCAAGATTGTTGCATAGGTACACACATGGCAGTGTGGTTTGCTGCCTTCCGTCCCCTCACCTGTATCTGTCATTTCTCCCCATGCTATCTCTTCCCACCTCCCCACCCCCCCGCCCTCCCCCATTTCCCCCCAATGGACCCCAGTGTGTAGTGCTCCCCTCCCTGTGTCCATGTGTTCTCATTGTTCAACACCCGCCTATGAGTGAGAATATATGGTGTTTGATTTTCTGCTCTTGTGTCAGTTTGCTGAGAATGATGGTTTCCAGGTTCATCCATGTCCCTACAAAGGACGTGAACTCATCGTTTTTGATGGCTGCGTAATATTCCATGGTGTATATGTACCACATTTTCCCTATCCAGTCTATCATCGTTGGGCATTTGGGTTGGTTCCAGGTCTTTGCTATTGTAAACAGTGCTGCAATGAACATTCGTGTGCACGTGTCCTTGTAGTAGAATGATTTATAATCCTTTGGATATATACCCAGTAATGGGATTGCTGGGTCAAATGGGATTTCTGTTTTTAGGTCCTTGAGGAATCGCCACACTGTCTTCCACAATGGTTGAATTAATTTACATTCCCACCAACAGTGTAAAAGTGTTCCTATTTCTCCACATCCTCTCCAGCCTCTGTTGTTTCCCGATTTTTTAATGATCGCCATTCTAACTGGTGTGAGATGGTATCTCAATGTGGTTTTGATTTGCATTTCTCTGATGACCAGTGATGATGAGCATTTTTTCATATGTTTGT